TGAATCTGTAAAATTAAAATTGCCCTTTTCTGGGCTGGTAGTCAAGGAGGTGTCTAAAATATAGAATGAGGGAGGTGGACACCTGGGGAAAATGTACCAATGCAAAAAAAAAAAAACTAAATACAGTTTTTTAAAATGTTTTCAGTGAAACATTAAAAATGCCTAATTCCTTTAAAAACCATGCCTGTGGTTTCCCTAATCTTGCCTGTAAGGGGGTGGATCACTGTGATCTACTGAAAGTTCTACAGCTGCACAGACATTTTCAAAGGTTAACAGCATTTAAAATAGCTGGCAAATGACATTTCACTGCAAGCTTCTTTTATAAAAATAAAAATCAGCACGCAGGCACCTCCAAGGGTCTGCTATGTATGTATATGCCTTTGGAGGGGTCTATGTGCTATTTGTTTTCTTTGGAAATATAACAGGAAATCCACACCAGAAACTCTGGAGTGAGGTATGCATTTTAAGGGGGATCTCTATGCAAAAAAAAATGCATGCACTCCCCATAAAAAGTCATAATATATACCTAATCTGAGCATGCAGCCTGGCTGGCCAGAATAGGGGGGATAAGTCTGCTCCCCCATCTCCTGAACTATATCAGGCTACGTGCCCTTAATATGGGAGTATTGAGTAAATAGCACCTCTACTCGTTCACAAAAAAGATGTCACCTAGAAATAGACACTCAAGTTCTTTATTTGAAAAAAAATCCCCAAACATGTCCCTCATAAATCCTTATTCAATCACGATACCTGCCAACTATGACAGTACCACTAGCTGAATGCCAACTCCTCGAGGTTCATCAGCTATAAAAAGGAAGGGAGAGGGATAGTAATTACAACTTTACCGAAATATGGTCAAGTGGCCATATTTAGACAATTGTGTAATCTCTCTGATCCCCGTCTATTTGCTTATGTGGCCAGGGATTCCCAGCCATGCAAGTGAATGGGCTGGATGATGTAATTGGTTGGAAAAAGATGTGGCGGGTGCAAGCACTTGCTATTTCTTTAGTAACCATTGGCAGCCAGTAGCTGCCATGTTTATCCATGTTGAATTCTCTGAACATTCTGAGTTCAGACAAATGTCCGAACAGAGAGTGTTCAGTCCAGTCATCAATAATAAATTCCTTGTGAAAAATTAAAGATGTTGTTAAAAGAAATGGTGATAAAGGTGGTGTGGTTGTAATGCTAAATAGGGCTGACTACAGGGATGAAGCTCTTCAGCAGTTTAGTGACACTACGACATATACACTATATTTCTGAAAGTATTGGGACATCCTCCAAATCATTGGATTCAAGTGTTCCAATCACCTCCATGGCCCCAGGTGAATAAAATCAAGCACCTAGGCATGCAGACTGCTTCTACAAACATTTGTGAAAGAATGGGTCACTCTCAGGAGCTCAGTGAATTCAAGCGTGGTACCGTGATAGGTTGCCACCTGTGCAATAAGTCTATCCATGAAATTTTCTTGCTACTAAATATTCCAAAGTCAACTGTTACTTGTATTATAACAAAGTGGAAGCAACTGGGAACAACAGCAACTAACAGAGCGGGGTCAGCGCATCCTGAAATGCAAAGTGCGCAGAAGTTGCCAACTGTCTGCAGAGTCAATAGCTAAATACCTCCAAACTTCATGTGGCCTTCAGATTAGCACAACAGTGTGCAGAGAGCTTCATGGAATAGGTTTCCATGGCTGAGCAGCTGCATCCAAGTCTTTCATCACCAAGTGCAATGCAAAGCATCAGATGCAGTGGTGTAAAGCACACCGCCACTGGACTCTAGAGCAGTGGAGACGTGTTGTCTGGAGTGACGAATCACTCTTCTCTATCTGGCAATCTGATGGACATGTCTGGGTTTGGCGGTTGCCAGGAGTACTTGTCTGACTGCATTGTGCCAAGTGTAAAGTTTGGTGGAGGGGGGATTTTGGTTTGGGGTTGTTTTTCAGGGGTTGGGTTTGACCCCCTAGTTCCAGCGAAGGGAGCTCTTAAGGCGTCATCATGTCTGGGTTTGGCAGAATGCCTGACTGCATTGTGCCAATTGTAAAGTTTGGTGGAGGGGGGATTCTGGTTTTTCCCCCACATTATAATGTGGACATTTTGTTTTTCAGGGGTTGAGCTTGGCCCCTTAGTTCCAGTGAAGGGAACTCTTAAGGTGTCAGCATACCAAGACATTTTGAACAATTTCATGCTCCCAACTTTGTGGGAACAGTTTGGGGATGGCCCCTTCCTGTTCCAACATGACTGCGCACCAGTGCACAAAGCAAGGTCCATAAAGACATGGATGAGTGAGTTTGGGGTGGAGGAACTTGACTGGCCTGCACAGAGTCCTGACCTCAACCATATAGAACACCTTTGAGTTGAATTAGAGCAGAGACTGCGAGCCAGGCCGATAGGGTGAGAGATCCAAGTAACAGATAGATGATCTCATTACTGTGCTGCTTCTCCTTTCGCTGTCTGGTCAGTGGTGTAAAACTCATAGCTGGATGGACAGAGACACAAATCATTTGACAGGAAGGGCTGGTACACAACAAATGCAGTCTTGTGTGCTTTTTTCTGATTCAAAATGCATGGACAGTGTTTAACATTGATTGGGGCAGCACAGTGGCTAAATGGTTATCACTTCTGCCTGGCAGTACTAGGGTCATTGGTTCAAATCCCAGCCATGGCACCTCCTGCCTGGAGTTTGCATGTTGTGCCTGTGTGGGTTTCCTCTGGATACACTGGTTTCCTCCCACACTCCAAAGACATGCTGGTAGGTTAATTGGATCCTGTCTAAATTGGCCCTTGTATAGGAATGTGAGTTAGGGACCTTAGATTGTATGCCCCTTGAGGAGGTTAGGGATGGATGTGAATGTACAATATATATGTAAAGTGCTGTGTAAATTGATGGTGCTATATAAGTACCTGAAATAAATAAATAAATTCCAATGGCCCTAGTTCACACCAGGGTAGTGTGATCCAGTGAACCCAAAAAAGAACATGTTGCATTTTTTATGTATGGAACGCAACTGGAACCTGGTGAAATGCATCAACAACACACTAGAATGGACATGTCCTCAATTGAGATGAAGAAAAAGAGGAGAAAAATGCACCAGAATGCATAATAAATGCATCGTTAACACACATGCAGAAATGTATCCGGAACTCAGAAATTCTGATGTGAGCTGGCCCTTAAAGCAACTCCACTATATATACTGCATCTGTGTTTTTAATGCTGAATGCAGGAGGAGAACCTGTCATTTATCCACCGCAATATATAAAGGAAAAAGCAGAGGGTGAGAACGAAATGCAGTATATACTGCATTTGGTTGGCACCCTCTGCTGTTTCCTTCGGTCTCATTGGGGAGCTGCCACTGATATCTTTGGACCTATGGATAGCATAAACCTACACCCCCTACAGCATATTCTCATGTACGTCTGGAGGAAAAGAAATTAAATCTCCAAACATGGAAAGGTTTCTTCACAGTGAGAGCTGTGAAAATGTGGAATAGACTCCCTCAAGAGTTGGTTCTGGCCAGCTCAGTGGATTGCTCTAAAAAAGGCCTGGATTCTTTCCTAGATACACAGAATATAACTGGATATAACATTTATAGGTAAAGTTGGTCCAGGGAATATCCGATTGCCTCTCGGGGGATCTGAAGGAATTTTTTCCCCCGCAGGAGCAAATTGGATCATACTTTGCTGGGTTTTTTTTTGCCTTCCTCTGGATCAACTGTGAGTGTATGATTATAACTTTTTTTTTTTTAATGGATGGACTTTTGTCTTTTTTTTCAGCCAGACTAACTACAGTATGTAACTATGATTATGTTTTAGCTTAGCTGTACCTGATATATTCTCGATTCTCGCTTTTTGTATCATTTATTCACCTCCTCCCTCATTCCCAGAACATGTTGAATTTTGTGAAGTGGAGGGCAGGCATACAGGAAATATCACAGTCGCAGGCACTGCTTCTAACCTGTACAGCCCTGGAAGTTCACAGCTGTGGGAAGGAGCTGACATTGGAAAAGGGAGGATTTCTACAATAAGTAACAGCCAGTAGGATGTAAAAGGGAGCTATGTCCCTGGTGCAGTATACCAGGGAAAAAAAACTAAAATCCAACTTTGAAGCCGAACTCTGGGATGAGCATCTATAGTTTCAATATAAGAGCATTTTCCATTCTTCCTTGAATCGTGGTGTGTGTCTTTCATTGTGTATGTCTTTCAGATCTGTACAGTAATCCAGTGTGAAACGTTGCATCTTTGTAGGAGCTTCCTGTAATAAAGACTGCTCTATCTCCTTGTGCAGAGTGACTGGTCTTGTATCTGCCCTCTCTGTACCATTCTGCATGCAGCACATAATGGGTGGAGCTTTTTGAGCCCTTCCCTCATCTCTGCTTCTTTCACAGGCTAAGTACAGCACAGTGATGATGTCACGTCTTCTTTTACAAGGCAGTAGTTGGGTTTGCAAAGGAATTTAATGCACATGAAGTGGATTTATATTATTTTTGTCTATTGAGAAATATAATTAAAGTGGTTGTCAAACTTTACATATATCCAGTGAAGTGACTGGCCTCAGGTGAAACACAGAGATGAAATGAATCATCCAACAAAAGTTGTACATGTTATCTGTAGTCGTCTCTTCTCTACATATGTGAATGCAGAATTTATACAGCTTGTCTGAGCTTTCAGAAAGCAGGGAGTGGTGAGCTGAAGTTACACGCAGAGCTCAGTGAGAACTGATTGGAGGGAAGGGACACACCCCCTTTCACACAGCACACATGAACGGAGCTGAGGCTGTTGATCACAGACTGTGTGCTGGAGGTTCCTTCTCTGTTGCCTTTTAAGATCTTGGTGTCAGGAAAACCTGATAGCAGGGAAAATGACACTTAATGCTGAACTGAGACATATACACACTGTATAGGGATATGCTTTGCTCATGTTTTATGTCAGAGGTTTACAACCACTTTAAATGAAAATTTTTGTGTCAGGAGTTCAGCTTTAAGTGTCTGTTGCTTAAGGTGTTACTAAACCCACAACAGTAAAATCATTCTGTATATGCAGTAAAGCATGCTTGATATACTCACTGTGGACACTAAGGGATTAATCCTCTGCATTGTGTAAAAACGTTGCTTGATCCTATCTTCTTGATCCTCCCCTTCTTCCAGTGCCCCCATCTTATCTCCTGATAAGACATATGGTGTGGACACACTCTGCACATGTTTCAGTTTGGTGTGTATTGCTAGAAATGTTTTTTTTTTCTTGGGATAGTGCATGTGATCAACACAGAGGCAATCAGCACTGCCAGACAGAAGGTCAGGGGTTCTGAATCCTCCTAGAGCTAAAAGAAACCTCCCCCTACAAGCTTTAACCAGTGCTCTGCTGGACACTGATATAAGTCACAAAACTGCAGATGAGAAAAGGTATTTAGCAGTTTATATTTACTTAAATAATTGCATTTCCATGTTCTGTGTACTGTGGGAGACCAGATATAGTGAATGCAGGGTCCTGGGTTTAGTAACACTTTAACTTTGAATCCTGCTGCTTTGTGTTATCAGAGCCGACCTTAATACTGAGACGCACACACATACTACACACCCTCAGATGTGCCAAGGGCAGGACTGCAATGCTTATCAGAATTAAGTAATACCTTGCCCACACCTAGGAGGAGACTGGTAAAATCACGCTTAGACTGTACAGCTGTGGTTTGTATATCCTCAGCAATGGTTGAATTATTTATTTCCCACACGTTGGCAGACTAGACAGCTAAGGGGAACAATAGAAGTATAAATACTGTATGGTGAACCCATTTAACAAAGGGGACCTCAAGTACATCACCCAGGCATGTCCAACAACTTAGTTCTGTACGTTTGCTATTCATTGGAATGGACACTACAAGCTTCTGAATACTACCCTAACATATTATATGAAATTTTTCTAATAGATAGGAATTTCATTTGGGACCAGATTTAGTATGTTTTCATTAGGTATAAATGGGATTTTTTTTATTGCACTATAATATATTTTTCCTAACCCAACTTTTTCTTAAAGTGACACTAATTCATAACCGTATTCTCCAAAAATAATCCATATACATCCACTACTTAGTGGCCTTTTATCATTTACTTTTCCCTCTTACATTTGTTTGAAACAAACCGTGCACATTAGTTGATGTCATGAGCACTGCAGTATGCCAAGTCCCTAGTCCATCTCAGTTAACCTAGCCATCCTTCAACAGATAGCCAGATCATAGCAGCAAAAAAAGGAATCTGGGAATTTGGAAGAGGCTGATAACATTAGAAGGTACTAATGTTTTAGTGTCACTTCAATTTGCACAACACTAGATATTTACCCCCAAATATAATCTAATATCCTGTAGTTGGGGTTTAAAGTGGTATCCCTAGCAGTATGATTATGTCAATATTTCTGTGCTCAGAGGTACAATTTTTTGCATGGAAATATGTCGTTTTTTTATTGTAGGCCTGTCATTTTTAGGAACAACTCACTGAAATCTATTCAAACAAGAGTCTAGTAAACATCCCGGGTATGATAAAATTTGAAACACGAAATCATAAATTATAATATAATAAATAGTCATAAAAAAATAATAATAATATAATAATAATAAATTTAATTCAATAATATAATCAAACCAAAAACACTGAAATTTGAAATATAGTGCCAAGTTTGCACATCACTGAGCCTAGTTGCAAAATTGTTTTCAGTGTCTGATGACAAATTCCCCCACGAATCATTATCACTCAATTCTGCAAGTGGATCTAATTTACTATCGCTGTATTCTAGCTGGTCTAAAACCGCTTTTGACATAAAGGGACGCTTTTTGGAGGCCATGGACATTTCTCAGTTTCCAGACAGAAAGAATAGTAAAAATGCAGGCAGGGCACAGGACAAAGCACTCGGGACAAAATGTATGTGAAATGGTTTGATACAGTAATGTTTTACTATGTGATTTTAGTGTATTTTGTGAATGTCACTTTTTAATATTTTTACATTTCCTGGCGGTTCCGTCCCCCCCCCCGTTTGCAGGGAACGGAACCCAGAAGACAGATGCCGGCATCGGCCAGAGGAGATGGCCGGGGACGCTGCAGGGGGGACATTGTGGGAGCGAAGGATAAGGTAAGTGAAACAGGGATCATAGAGCAATGCTGCAGGGTAATCCCGAGTGTAGCTCGGGGTTACCGCTTTTGGCACTGATAATTAACCCCGACCTACACTCGGGAATACCTCCAGGGAGGTTAAACCCAAAACCAAAATTGGTATATATTGCAGCTTACCAATCATTAAATGTGGTGGCTGCATTAATTCCCTGTTTTTATTTTTTTCCCCTTTGTTTTTTTTCCCTGGTAATCTGCATTTTTTCCAGAAGCTCCTGAACTCTCCCTAATGTTTTCCTATGTGTCCATGTGCACATCGTCGTTTACAGTTGCTTACAGGCAGTTGAGTAAAGTACTGTAAAGTTTACTGTTAAGTAATTTTTTTGAACGCACCAAACTTTCTTTCAGGAGTAGATTTTATCAGTGTTTCAAATACCAAGCGTTTCTAAAAGCGTTTGCGTTTAGAAGCGTTTTTCGTCGGATCCATATCGAGGGCACAATTCACTGAGCGGTATCCTACCTCATCCATGTATGCGGTAAGATACTGCATAGCATTTTTTAAAAAAAAAAAAATTTGAATCCACTAAAAAAGGCTACTAAAATACCTCATGATTAAATCATGCGGAATTTTAGTAGTGAAAAGCATGCATCATGTTTCAGCTGTCAGCGGGGTTCCCACTGACAGCTGAATGTAAAAGAAAGAATTGCCGGCAATTAAAAAAATTATTTTAAAAAACGGCGTGGGGTCCCCCTCCTATCCATACCAAGCCCTTCGGGTCTGGTATGGATTTTGAGGGGAAGCCCCACACCAAAATTAAAAAATAAATGGTGTGGGTTCCCCCCCAAAATCCATACCAGACCCTTATTCGAGCTTGCAGCCCAGCAGGTCAGGAAAGGGGGGGGCAAGTGAGCACCCCCCGAAACATACCAGGTCACATGCCCTCAACATGGGGGGGTGCTTTAGGGTAGGGGGAGCTCCCCCCCCCGAAAGATCCTTGTCTCCATGTTGATGAGGACAAGGGCCTCTTCCCCACAACCCTGGGCTGTGGTTGTGGGGTCTGAGGGCAGGGGGCTTATTGGAATCTGGATGCCCCCTTTAGCATGGGGGCTCCCAGATCCCGCCCCTCCCCCCACGTGAATGAGTATGGGGTACATGGTACCACTACACATTCACAAAAAAAAAGCTGTAGTGTGAAAAAAGACAGGAGTCATTCTTTGACAAGTCCTTTAATAACCAGTTGCCGTCCGGCCTAAGGCCAGATGGCGGCCGGGCGAACACCTTGTCAATGTGGCGTCCTTCCCAGAACATGCATTGCGCATGCCCATAGGGCCGTGCTGTGGCGCGATCTGTCACCGGCCATGTACCTCGGACACAGCCGATGACAGATCTGTGTACCGGATCTGTGTATTTATTTTTCTTGTGCAATTATATTTTTTCACTTTTTGGGACTTTTTTTGCTATTCATAGATGTCACTGTATAATACTTGGTCACTTTGTTTCTAATTATTATTTTTGGATTATATTGCACTTTATAATTAAGTTTATGAGGATACACAGGGTTATATCATGTATTCACACTAATATAATTTATTCACAATAATATGATTTGAAAATATTTAATTTTAGCACCTACAGCGCTACACCATCCTTTGTAAAATAATTTTTTCATCTCATCGTGTTTGGGTGTAAGCAGATACTTCATCCCCTGAGAAGATTTTTGGCAGCGCAGGAGTCCACCCCTCATTTAATTGGTACAGTGATTTGCAGCTTACACAGGGATCGCTCAAGTATGAGATATATATACTTACATTGGTCCAAGCCCTGAGGCACAGGAGCATCTCTGAACCTGTGATTTTTAAGATGTAAAAAGCTAGAAAGGGTACTTCCCACAAGGCCTGTCAACAGACATTGAAGGCCTACAAAATTTGATGTCAGTACTGGGGCTTCAACCTTGGAGTTTCTCTGTGGGATGGATCCTCTCCTTTATGCACCCTAGTCTGGACCAGTGTATGTCTCTCAGCACTTACCAGGGCTAGGTTTCTGTCCTTTCCAGGGGTGGACTGACAACTCATGGGGCCCCCGGGCAATAGGGGATCATGGGGCCCCTGTGTCCTTGCCCAAACTCAAAAAAGCCTATGAAAAAGGTACCAGGGGCATCTCATGGGGCCCCCTACTGACCCCGGGCCTTCGGGCAGTGCCCGAGTTTCCAAATGATCAGTCCGCCCCTGGTCCTTTCTATCCTATTTCAGAGAATGTTGACCTCCTATTCCTCAATTAAGACTTTTATACAGATGGTCTCCTATATGGCTCCCCCCTGTTTATTTCCCTGTGACTCTTCAACCAAGACATTGTTCTTCTGTCCCTCTGTCCAGCTCCAGTTCACCCAAGGGAAATTTCTCTGTATTGCCTGGATGTTGTTCGAGCTGTGAATGTCTGTCTATTTGAACTATCCTGCACAGTACTACAGTTTTTTAGGTTTCAAAGTCCAATCCTCCTGTTTGTGACAGTAACCTGTAGATTAAAAACGTCTTCTGCAATAGACTCCAAGTAAAGGATGTTACAATTAGTACAAAATCCATTCTAAATAGAGAGCATTAAATAGTTCCTTCAGAAGGTTGTCTTTCAGTGTTCCATAAAGTGGTAAGACTATATATCTGTGTGATATACATACTTGATTGTCTTTTCTGTAATATAGATCTAACAAGAAAAAAAAATATACTGTAATTAATTTAGCTGTAAAGTAGGGACATATACTGCATACTGTGCAAAGGAAACCATTGCAGTTTTGAAGGAGTTTTTAGGGCTGGTTCACACCAGATGTGGTGGGACTGCATTGGGCAGCTATTTCATCGCTCTCTCACCACGTGGACAAGGCAAAATGCCTTGTTGTAATTGTTGTCTGTGTAACATCCCAATAATTATTTTGATTTTCTTTTAAAAGGAAACAGTGTTATCCTCCAAGCTCAGTGCATTATCACTGCACTGATTTTACCCGCAACCAATGCAGGGACAAGGTCATCCAGCACCCAGGGCAAAGATGCCAAACTGTTCCCCCAAGCTTAAGGGATCCTATGCCCAGCAGTCTCTCACTGGTCAAAATCACTGCCTCCTAACAGTCACTACTCCTAACAGCCTTGTAACAATAGAAAGGTGCTCCCATCCCTACAGTAAACCATTGTACTCAGGGCAGCCTCCCCTCCCACCCACCCCTTGTTTCAGCCTTGGCCACAACACACTGCACACCTGCCCGTTCCTAACAGGATGAACATTATTTATCAAAAATTATGACTAGAATATTTATATATCAATTTAAAAAAATTTAAAAGGAAATACTGTGTTTTAAAATATGTATTACAGAAAAATGTAGCTAAAGTTTTTTTTTTT